TTTTTTATTAATAAATTACTCATTTTTGAGATTTGCCGAATAAAAATAAAAATTAAACAAAATTGTTGAATTTAAGGTTACTATATTTATTTGTGAATTTTTGGCGTTAATTTTATATTTTTTTCATACTTTTCATATTTTTTTATTAATCAATTACTCATTTTCAGGATTTACCGGATTTTTTTTAAAATTTTTTTATTGAGATTGTCGAATTTAAGGTTACTATATTTATTTGTAAATTTTTTGCATTAATTTTATATTTTTTTCATATTTTTCCTATTTTTTATTAATCAATTACTCATTTTCGAGATTTATCGGAAAAAAAAATAATTGTTGAAAACGGGTAAGATAGGTTATTTAAAAGAGGAGTGATTTATGAGTCAGATAGGTGTTTTAAAAGTGGGTCGGATAGTTTAGGGGCATAAGACACCCCTTTCCCTTTTAATATAAATGCCACGTGGCAATTCCATTTGTCATTTAAAGAAATGTAAAATGAGTTGGAAATTTTCAGCAGGCCAACAAACGCCATAAGGGCATATTTAGACCAAAAGTTGGACGGCGAGGGCATGAGTGAGCCAAACTTTAAACGGGGGTATATCTAGACTTTTTCGAATAGTTTAGGAGCATATTTTTTATCAACTATAATTATTTTATATAATATAAAATTTATTATCTTCAAATAATAATATAATAAAATTATTATTTTAAGACATGTCAAGTCAATACGGAACAAATAAAAATCATATCAAATATCATCCAAACACATGCTTGCCAAATTTAAATTCAAATAACAAACCATGATTGGTGGCATTAAAGTTAGTTGACAGCTCGGAAAGGGTAAAGCGTGGGTCAATCAAACGCCTATCTCTTCATCGCCTTCTTCCTCAAAAAAGAAAAAAAAGGTAAACGCTCTACTGTAACGATTCGATTTTTTTCAAACTTAGCTCTAAATTTATATTATTGAGACGGATCTAGAATTTGAAATTTGTGGGTATATATACATATTTTTATAAATTTTGATACAAATATGTTTATACAAACGTAGAGACGGATCTAGAATTTGAAATTATGATATGCATAATCATAATCATAATCATACATATTTTTAATTTTGTATGTAAATACAGAGGAAGAAAGGTGCAGAGGAAGAGAGATGACGATACTGTATGCGCTGGTAGCGAGGGGATCGGTGGTGTTGGCGGAGCAGAGCGGGACGTCAACGAACGCGAGTACGATCGCGAGGCAGATTTTGGAGAAAATTCCGGGGAATAATGATTCCAATGCTTCGTACTCACAGGATCGGTATATTTTCCATGTTAAACGCACTGATGGACTTACTGTCCTCTGTATGGCGGATGATAATGCTGGAAGTAAGCAATTACCCTTTTGTATAATGCAGTTATGTTGTTAGAATGTGTTTAAATTCCTGTTTATGTTGATTCAGCTTTTATGTTTTGTGTCTTTACAAATTACAATTAATCTAGATATATCTAAATAACAACAACAACAACATCATAGTCCATGTAATTTGACAAGTGGGGCTGGGAGGGTGGTGACTGCTGTGTATACAACCTTATTCTGAAGGTAGAAAAATTGTTTTCGATAGCCTCGGCTCAAATATAGATATATATAAACAACAGCAATGACATGGGTTTGGGGAGAGTGGTGTGTATGCAACCTTACCCTGAAGGTAGAGAGTCTGTTTCTGATGGATACTCGGCTTAAATCTAGTTATATCTAAACAAAAACAACATAACCAGGGTAATCTCACAAGTGGGGTTAGGGTAGGTTGGTGTGAAGATAACTATACTTCAGTGAGTTGGTGAATGGATATATTAATCCCACTAGGACTCCTCTCAGTGATCAATCTTTGGGCTTAAAGCCATTTTATAAATCCGAGAAACAGAATATTGTGAAGTGTTGTCTTTTAAGCAGCCTTATGGTCTTTAGTTACAGGTTCATTTCACAATATCATTGGATAATATCCTGCAGCATTGGTAATTCTGATCTTCTTGATATATATTTATATTTTTATTCTGTCTTAGGGATATCTATTCTATATACTTCTTTAATATATTTTACCTTGGCATCTTTTCCTTGGTTTTGTATCTCCTAGTACATTGTGTAAATATACTTTGGTTAGTTGTTCCCAAAAAAGAAGAAGATTTGTAGTTGTACACAGACTTCTCCCTTTAATTTAGTTCGAATTTAGATAGTGGTTTAGTTCTTTAGTAACACCACAGATTTCATTTTCATTTTTGATATGTTGCCTTGGAAGATTGTCATATATTGTGGATATTTTACTATACTAAATTCCGCTACAGGAAGAATCCCTTTCGCATTTCTTGAAGAAATTCACCAAAGATTTGTGAGGACCTATGGCCGAGCAGTTCTGTCTGCGCAAGCTTATGGTATGAATGATGAATTTTCAAGGGTGCTTAGCCAGCAAATGGAATACTACTCTAGTGATCCAAATGCAGACAGAATAAACAGGCTAAAGGGTGAAATGAGTCAGGTCAGTTACCAATGTTGTTTTAGGCCTTAGGGACCTTGTGTTCTAGATGTTGGCTCATGCAAAATTCACATTTTCTCAATCTGATGAGGCTTGCACTTTCAATGCATCATAATTATATCATCAACAAGCATATTGTAATGAGTGATTAGGCTTAATAATTCGTGGTGTTTGATGCAACATTCTTCCCTTGAGACCATCAATAGTCATTTATATGTTCCTGTAATAAAGCTTTTATTGTATTGATGAGTAGCGGTGATAAAAACAATATTTACAGTTTCAGCTGGCAAATCTTATAAACTAGAAATTGCAGCAAATCATATTTACCAGCCATTATATTTTGACATTAGCTAAGAAAATTTTGGATGTATGTGCCATGTAACAGGTGCGCACTGTCATGGTTGAGAATATTGATAAAGTTCTAGAGAGAGGTGATCGCTTGGAATTGCTGGTCGATAAAACAGCTAATATGCAAGAGAACACTTTCCGCTTCAGAAAGCAGGCTCGCCGTTTCAGAAGCACTGTATGGTGGAGAAATGTCAAACTCACGTATGTTGCTTCCATTACTTGGACAAATGCTATTTCTTTGTTTCATTTTTCCTTGGTGGGGGAGGGGGGTTGTTCTTTCAATAGTTGGATGAATTATATAATTATTAGATTTCTTTTATTGGGTAAGATTAAACTCTGATTTGAACAGTTAGATTGTTACATGTGAAGATCCCTTATTTGTAAGTTATCTGACATTACTGAAACTAGCTGGGCTCTATCCTACCTAAAATGGTTTGACAAAACGGACAGTGTATCTTCCAGGATCAATTTAGAGAGAAATTTTAAAATGTGAATAAATAATAATCCAAATTTTACATCTTTGGGAAGTCCATGAAATGATTGAGATCAGTATGAAGCTTCCTCATGGATTTCTTGATCTGGTTATTCCTTTTCCTTATAATATGTGTTTCACGATCTTTTATCTGCCTGCTCCTAAACAGTATGAATTTTGTGAAGCAATTCTAACAACAGATCCCTACGTTTACAGAAGATTTCATAGTTGTATGCTGTACTGATTCTCTCAGGATATTTTTAATTTTGTTCTTGATGGTTGTTTACATTTAAGGAGTCGCCGGCTTCAAGTTTTTCTTTTCCTATTTCATTATTTAATTTTGTCATCGTTCTTTATAATGATGTTTGATTTTTGCAGGGTGGCACTGATAGTCCTCCTCCTTGTGATAGTTTATGTTATTTTGGCTTTCGCTTGTCATGGACTCACACTTCCAACTTGTTTGAAGTGAGGATTACTGGATCAGCATCACATCTTTCGTCCTGAAACATTATTTTGCAATTTTTTCATCTTAATTAATCTTGGGGTAAAGCTTGGATGTGTATTTTGGCATGGATTTCATCCTTGATATGTATTAATCGTGTGATATCCTTGAGCTTATAAGCAAGCCAAAACTCTTGGTTTGATAATGTAGATTGTATTTATATATAATTTTGACCCATGTGAGGAAAATGAAGGGGTCAAATAACTCATGATTGATTTCTTGGCTTGATATCTGTGTTGAAATATAACTTGACCGTCTTTTTGTTTGCACTCTATGCTGAAATTTGGTTTTGTTGCTTATTTGAGGCCATGGAAGGTTTCAACCTAAGTGACATTTGTTTCAGAAACTTGAATACTTCATTTTGGAGAATATATTTCAATTTTTGTTTTTGCAGGAATCTGTTTTTCAACCAAACATAAATTATCTGTTATAGAGGAAATGCTAATGCAATTTCAAAGTACCACAATTCCATCCTTATATCAAGACGTGTGATATATATTCTGTACAAAGATGCACTATAATTCTGCATTGAATGTTACATGTCAAATATTACAGTGAAACCAAATTGTCATCTATAAGGGAAAACCTGTTCAATAAAGCTTCTAATTCTTGAAGAACCGCCATGTAATGCTCTTCAGATTGAGCCCCTTCTTCAACAACTTGCATGACATGTTTATGTAGATGATTATATAATTCCACAGGATTATTCACATCAACATGACTAAGGACAGAATCTACTGGAGTCTTACGTTTGTAATCTTTATCCCAACGCGGCAGGATGTATTGTGATGGAATATCTTCTACACCATTATAATTCAGTACATTCAATGCATGTCTGCATAAGTATCCTTTAAAGTTGAACAAACTGCAAATACAGCGTACTTCTACTTGTGTCGTCTCATAGAGAACCTCAAACTGCCTGATCTCCTTCTCACTTCCTTCGGATTCTACTCTTTCTTCGACAGCAAATGTCATTATTGGCCCGTTAATGTTTACATGTCTTGTGTTAAAGCAAGAACGCATTTCCTCAACTTCTTTTTGGAACTTCTTGAATATTTCCTTTGTGAATATCCGTGAGAGTTGCTGCTCAAATTTGCATGTTGTTTTCAGTTCAAAGCTTGAACTTCTCGACTCCATATCAGCCATTGCTTCTTTCAGGTATTTCCTTTGCAGGGCTAGATCATACTTATCAACAAATTCTTTGAATGAAGTGTGTTTATGTACATAACCATCAAAAAATGAATCCAAACTCTCGTTTTCCTTTATTGGCATGATTCCCATGAAGGAAATATCTTTTAAGTAGACTGGTACCCATTTTTCACGATCTTCGTACAATGATTGAAGCCATTTATTGTCCTTGAGTCCATGCTGATTTATCATCTGTCCCCAAGAACTTTCAAATTCGGTGATCTTCAAAGAATTATAAACTGCTTTATACAGTTGCATCTTGATAGACTCATACCCCTTCAATCCTCCCAACTTCTCAGGAACTCGCTGCATGATATATGACAAACAATAACAATGACAAGCTTGAGGGAAAACCTTAGAAACTGCAATTTGCAATGATTTTGACTGATCAGTTAGAATAACTTGTGGATGTCTCCCCAGCATACATGTTTGCCATGATTTCAACATCCAAATAAAGTACTCTGCTGAATCATGTCCAAGAAAACCACATCCCAGCAAAACAGGTTGCCCATGATTGTTTAATCCGACAAAAGAAATTAGAGGAATTTCATATTTGTTTCTCAAGCTTGTTGTATCAATTGCAACTGCATCAGAAAAGGAGTTGAAAGCAGCCCTAGACCTAGCATCAGCCCAGAACACATTTCTCAGGCATCCTTCATCATCAAGATCCATCAGATAAAAGAAGTTTGGATTTGTCAATTTCATACGACAAAAATAATTATACAGTGCATGCGCATCCCCCTCTTTAAGCTCCAAATGCTTTGAGGTATCAACAGGAAGCCCACTATTTGTTTCCTCGACTTCTTGGGATCCATTATAAGCAGCATCAATAGATGTGCGGTATAACTTAATTGTATGCACTTCTGTAACAGGTGTCGATTCCTGCTGCTTTTTGGAAGCAAGAATCATTTTTTTGTGAGACTTATAGAACCGTCTGATCTCTGGGCTTACTGTATGATTATGCTGAAGCACAACTTCAACAATTCTCCATCTTTTTGAGTCCACAAGCTTAATTACTAGCATTGCAGGACAACCAGTTCTTGTTTCTGGCCTAGGGTGATTTGCTCCACTTTTCTTCTTGAAACCTGCGTTACTGCAGCTAAGTTTTGCTCTATACCTTTCTTTCCTTTTTGATCTAAACCAGGAGTTGCTCACTCTAACACCAAATCCTTGTTCCTTACCATACATGTTATAAAAATCATATGCTTCATCAAAAGACCCAAATTCCAGACCGACTGTGGGTTGTGGGGGCTCTTTCTTTGAATCATTTTCATGAATTTCATCATCATGCTCCACCACAGAACAGTCTTCTCCATCCTCATATTCTTCACAGTCATCAAACACTGGGCCGCTGTTAAGACAAACTGCCTCCATCTGAAACATGGAATTGAAATCAGCATGGAGATGATTTGACCAGAAGTAAACAAACAAAATGCTTTCTTTCTGAATCAGTTGCAACCTTCTTTTAAATAGTCTATTTTGGAAGGAGGGAGCGTTTCAAATATAGTAAATATATCAAAAAGACAATTCTAAAAAGAACCTGAAGTGTGTGCTTTAGAGTTCATGATAGATCACTTGGTGGTTTCAACCCTTCAAGAACTCATAGATTAAGTTCAAAACGACGTGGTATTGGGATTTGAAAATGTGGTTAGAGTTTGACAGGTTTAATAGAAATCAAGACAACATTGTTAAGTAGTAAAACTAAAATGTACTAAGAAAAAGGTAAAATTGCAAGAATGATGGGAAGGACTTTTCTTACAACAACAATTTGGAAGTTGAGGTGTACATGTCGCATACAGTAGGGTGATTAGGGACATGTACATTGGAGCCGAGATTGGGGTGAGAATAGTGGAAGGAAACTTGGAACACTTTCCAATCTTGATGGGGTTGTACCAATGATCAAATCTTAGTTCGTTTTTATTTGCCTTGGTGATGGATGAACTAACGTTGCATATCCAATGCGAGGTGCCATGGTTTTTTCTATTTGCGATGACATAATACTGATTGACGAGATAAGAGGCAAAATTAATGATACGCTGGAGGTCTAGTGCGGACCCTAGAGTTTAAAGGGATCAGGTTGAGCTTGAGTAGGACTAAGACAAACTACTTGGAGTGCAAGTTCAGTGGCATAACTCACGAGGCAAATGCAGAAGTGAGGATTGATACACAAGTCATCTCCAATTGAGGAAGTTTCAAGTATTGGGTCAATAATCAAAGGCAATGGGGAGATTGACAATGATGTTACACATCGTATTGGAGCGGGGTGGATGAAATGGAGGCTCGCATCCAGTGTCTTGTGTGATAAAAATATGCCACCAGGACTTAAAGGTAAGTTTTATAAATTGATTATTAGACTAACTATGTAGTATTGTGCAGAATATTGGCCGGTCAAGAACTTGCAAGTCTAGAAGGATGAAAGAAGCTGAAATGAGGATGTTGAGATGGATGTATGAGCATACTAAGAGAGATAGGATTAGGAATAAAGATATTTGGGACAAGGTGATAGTGGCCTCCGCGGTGGACAAGATGTGGTTGAGATGGTTCAGGCATGTGAGGAAGAGATGCACATATGCCCCAATGAGGAGGTGTGAGAGATTGACTATGATGGGTCTGAGAAGAGGTAGAAGCAGGCCAAAGAAGTATTGAGGAGAGGTGATTAGCCAACATATGACACACCTACAACTTACCGACGATATGACCCTAGAGAGGAGGAAATTAATGTCGAGAATTAAGGTAGATGGTTAGTAGGTATCAAACGATGTCTAGGTTTTCTTATTAGTATCATTATTATTAATATTAATCTTCTCTTATCTTATTCTTCATTTTTTTATTACCTATTGTTTCATTTACTTCGATTATCGTATTATTTGATGTTGCAACTGTTCTTTTCTCCATTATTTTCACATGGCTTCTTCACTACTGTATTTCCTTTTCAAACCTTTTTATGAAATGTTTTACTTGAGCTGAGAGTCTATTAGAAACAACCTCTCTACCTTCACAAGGTAGAGGTAAGGTATGTGTACACACCACCCTCCCTAGACCCCACTAGTGGGATTTCACTGGGTATGTTGTTGTTGTAACAATTTTCCCTGCATATGATACACAGCAGCCAATAATATTTTTTGCATCCTTCTTTAGCGAACAAATTGCTTGAACTTATCCAAGCATGTGTACAGTGACAACAATATGCCCCAATAATGCATTCATGTGCACTGAGAACAGGAAAAAAATCCAGTCTTTCCATCTCCAAGGAGACTCAAGGAAAAATCTATATTTACGTGCGAAGACATTATTATATTCTTAGACTATTCGAAATATAGAATAATCAAACACATTTTCCATTTCCTCCGGGGCATGATCTTATTACTTGAACTAAATGCATAGGTGATAGGTATACTCTATTTTGTAAGAAATCCATCCATCCTGCCCGCATGGCACATACGCCCGAATATTAATATAAGTTAGTTTGGCATAAGCATGATGAAAAAGATGAGGATTAGAAAATGTTTTAGGCAATAAATACAGAGTGACCAATAAAACCTGAATTCACTATGCACTCATCAGAAATATGCTCGACAAGATGTCAGATAGCAACTTGAGGGCCCGAGTCTAGCAATTAATGTTTCCCAGCATAAGATAAAAGCTATGCAGTCAAAGACTAAATTACGGTCTTGTAGAAAAGGTGAATACAAGCAGGAAATTCACATATAGAAAGGCTGGTAAAAAAGAAAAGAAAATGCATGTCCACTTATTTATGCATGTTTTAGGCCAACATGAGATGGCATGTATAGATACACCAAAAAACACATAAAGACGTGGATTAACTTAACTCCTTCAACTATTCCAAGTTTCAAAATGTATTAGAGACGAGGCTTGACCCATTTCACGGCTTAAATACATGGAACCTTGGACCTTATCCTGTGTTTTATAATAATTTTGATGCCAAACATTTTATTGCCCCTGAAAACCCCAAATATTGACATGAAATTCAGAAGCATATTCTTTTTCTAACTGGATATGTGATACTTTATGTAGTGCTTTTAGCTTTTTCTTTTGAAAGTTATGTATCTTACCCTCTCCTTCACCAACTACGAAAGTTCATAAAATGACTAAAAGCAGTCCACAGAGAGATTTGAGAGCCCAAGAAAATTCTAACAATCCACAAACACAATCATCTTAACACTAAACATACCAGTTACAGATTCCTCATCAACTATGCCGTAGTGTAAGATAGAAAAGCCGCGAGATTCTCATTGATTTTGACATTAGACTTGTCATTTTGAAACTCAAAAGAGAGCCGCTACCATCTTAACCTGAGAAACATATCTCCATGTCACAAAAAAAACACTACACTACAAAATATTACATATGATTCAACTATTTTGTGCACGGGTATGGGGTGCAGAAAACAAGTGCGGCCAATCCGCTAGACTCATAAAATAGTAGTGAAAATAAAAACATGCAAGTGGAGACGGGATTGGTCTAAACCAGTCGAAGTAGCATGAAAAAAAAGTAGTAGAGGTGCTTTAGGCACTAAAGAAGATGATATTTGAGGTACACGAGCCAATTTGTTCATCCTAATTTTCCAAAAGTAACACTAAAATCGCAGCAGCTAACACCGAAACAAACATGACATAGCACCTTCTGCCACAGAAGTCTGAAAAACCTTCCAAAGAGATCAGTCAGTATTCTGGGATCTGCCTCAGCATGATCACTCACTAACACCTCTTTTCTTTTCCTTTCTCTCTTTTTTCATATGACATAGAAAGACCATACACTTTACATTTTATGTAAATTAGCAGCTGATCAATAGGCTTCCTTAATCACATTGATAGTCAACATACCCCCTCCCTTCCGCCATCACCCAATCAACACTCACCTCCTCAGTTTCCACCCTCCAAAATAAAAGATGCACTCAACAACACGTCACTTAGAAGAATCCCTTCTAGTAATTATCATACATCAACAAAAAAAAATGGCAAAGCTCATAAGGAGACATAACCCAAGTTTGGTTTCCATAGCTCAATAATGATCGAATAGGGTTAATTGGTGAAGTATTTAAAATCATATCTTATATAATCATGCCCTTTAATTATAACAAAAAGAGTATGAGATCAGGTGATATTCATCAACTGAAAAGCTAAAGTCACCCTAACTTCAGACAACCTCCATTTTTATGAACTGTTACTGATCCTCAGAAATCTCAGCAATTGATAACGAAGTGTTTAAACGCAACAAAAAAAATATAATCAAAATTTAGCTAAAAATTTCAAGGAAATAAAGGACTACATACAATTAGCAGGAAAAAAGAAAGAAGAAAAGATTATACCTCTACCGGACTAAATTAAAATTTTCTTATCCAGGACAAAACATTTCAATCAAAATCATCATCAGTTCATCTTCAAGTGGATAATTTTAGCTCAGCTGTTCAACAGAAATTATCAATTTCCGAAGCAGGCTTATAAATTAAAAGTCACGCGCCGGCGAACGAGCGGCGAGGGTGGTGGCGGAGAACGGCGGACGGCGGAGGTGCAAAGACTAATTTTGTACGACGGCGAGCGAACGAAAATCGGTAAGGGCTTAGAATTTGGGAAAATTAATATTTGCAAACTACATCCTTGGAATATTGTCTATACTGCGTTACTCACCTCGAAACATTTCAATTTCTCCAATCAAAACATTTCATTATTAAAGCCTTCACAAAAGAATTACTAATCAAACAAAATTTATTTTTTAATACAAAAAATATTTTACTACTAATGTGAACTTTTTTGACACTGATTCAAATTAATAAAATCTCAAAGCTAATAGGATACTAGTAGAGTACTACAAGGGCATAAATCATAAAAATTATGATTCATAATATACAAATGTATCTTTTAACTTAATTTTAGTTGGTATTTATATCCTCAAATTTTGGGTGTGCATAATTAGTCAGTTAAGCTGATATAAAATTGAACAAATAGATACTTTCGTCTTACTTTGAGTTCTAAATGACAATTTCATGTCCTATGTGACGTGCTATGTGTCTTATGTGACGTCTACTTATTTAGTTTTATACAAGTTTAAGTATTAGTTATGCACGGTCAAAATTGAAGGACATAAATACTTGTTAAAGACAAATTAAAGGGCATATATGCTATATTTCGAATGTGTTAAGTGAACTTATTATAACTAACTTACTAACTTCAAGGATATGATTTTTAATAATAAATACAATAATTCGATAAGAAATATAAATAATTGTATAATTTAATTGGAAAAATTGTACCCGTTCTTGTTTAGTTTTTTCCTTGGAAATTTACAGAGAAATATAGTCGTAATGGCAGTGCGATCAATATTTCTTCTTCAGTGCTTCTTCTTATGTTCTATTCTTTCTGGGTATATAAATTTTCATGCACGTAATAAAATGAACTCAATTCAGAAAAATTGTAAAATTTAGTTTATGTTTTGAATTTATTAAGCTTGTTAATTAATAACAATTTGATTATTTTCCCGTAGCTTCTAATTAATTTTAATTTCCATTTGAATTTTTTGGCATTGGATGGGGAAAAAATGTCCAAAAATTTTGGATCTTCAATCTTCAAGTTCCACTGTTTTGAATTTTTTTCGTAGCTTGTTGATATGAAATTAGTAAAACCTAATTGATTGATTTGTTAAAAAAAAAAAACAGAATTTGAGAAAAATTACAGAGAATTCAAATCTTGGCTTGTGTTTTTTTTTTAAAGATTATTACTATGTCAAGTAATTAAACAATTGATTATTTTCTCCACTTTTTCATTATTTTAATTAAATTAATTTTTTTTTGCAGGAATGTTGATGGTTATACTGTTACAGGACGAGTAAAAATACCCAGTAAATACTTCAAGAATTCTTTTCACCTTAATTTCTCTTCCTAGTTATATTTTTAGAATACATAGAATTGTATTAGTTGCTTTATATCACTTTCGTATTATCTTATTATTCGATTTCTTATTAAAACATTGGTGTTTGACCATGTTTCATTATAAAATTTGAAAAAACTAGGCCGGGTAAGGCCCCAGACCCCACTTGTGGGAATATGCTGGACTTGGGTATGTTGTTTATGTATAGAACTGTAGTTAGTTAGTATACATAAGCTTCAAATATTGGAAATATAATGTCATTTATTTGCCTAGTTTCACCAATACGGTAGCTAAAATATCATAAATTTAAGGAAAAATAGGTCAGTAGTAAACAATTATTTGGGATGAAAAAGGAGTAATTTAGTTAAATTTTCCAACTTTTTGTCAAGGTGGAGTTTTTTCTACCTATATATGTTCTATTAATTTTAGATTATAGAGCTAAAACTCTCCTTTTGTTATAGAGATTCACTTCACTGTACTTTGATGTTTTAAATATTTTTTTTGTGATGATTTATCGGTTATAAGAAATATTGACTTTGTTTTCTGTAGTTGAGAATAGGTTACAGAATTGTCACAGAACTTTTAGTATGGAGATTCATATAGCTGATCCAACTTATTTGTGACTAAGGCCGCGTTGTTGTTGTTGTTTGTTTGTTTGTTTTCTTTAGTCTTTAGCTTGAAAGGATCTGGTTTCTTACCTAAAGCTTCAAATGTTAAAGTCATACTCAATGCTGGCCAAAGAGTTACTTTCCTGAGACCCAATGGATATTTCTCATTGTATCCTTCCTAAAGTCGACGAGTCAATGTCTTAAGTCAGTCCTTAATTCATCTTTGGTTATGTATCTTGATTAAACTCTAGGTATACTAATAGGAGTTTTGTGCTGCATATTTACTGTTTTTGTGTGTTGTTTTCTTGTATGATACAATAACAACAACAAGAACAAACAACTACGTCTCAGTCCCAAACAAGTTAGGATTGTGAGTGGCTCATCTGAATTATACTCAATTTGTGGGATAATCATGAAAACTAGAATGCTACTCCTCTTTGGAAAGGCTATGCGAAGGGAATGTTATCCTATGAATGCAATTCCTTAACCTTAGCAATAGTCATAATGTTTCAGCAGGGACACATCTTATTGAGGTGTCTGCAATTGGCTACTTCTTTTCTCCGGTGAGCTTCTCTACTATGATATGTTTGATTCTTCACCAATTTTCTAGGACAAAGATTTATATGCTTAATGTATCTCTCGTGATGTCAGGTCCGAGTTGATGTAAGTGCCAGAAATCCAGGTAAGGTTCAAGCAGCATTAACTGAGAACAGGAGGAGTCTGACTGAATTGGTTTTGGAGCCATTGAGTGAGGAGCAGTATTATGAGGTCGGACTTTGATCTCCTAGCTATCCGTTTCATTTTCCCCTTCTTTCTCTAAACTACTGTGTGAATTTCTCTTGCAGTTAAAGGAACCTTTCTCCATTATGTCTCTGGTGAAAAGTCCAATTGGCCTGATGTTCGGATTTATGCTGTTTGTAATGTTTGTGATGCCAAAATTAGCAGAAAATGTTGGTGAGTACTCTTGTGCTCTGTGTTTTAACCAAAATGAAGTTGCTATCACATGCAATAGGACGGTAATTCCATAACGTTGCTCCAATTTAACGTCTCTGTAATGCAAGAGTTTTGTGCTTTGGGATGACTGCACTAAATATGTGGTTCACTAAGGATTAGTATCCAATGGTACCAACGTGATGTATGTACATTATGCATCAATCTCTAATTTTCTTCATCGAATTGGACCATGAATATCGGGCACTAAATATATATGTGCTTCACTAGGGTGGCAAAGTTCTCAAAGTAAGAAGCATCATCTGTTAATCCTTATATCTGAGTGAACGCGAACTTCACTGTCTCCTAACGCTTAATTACTATGCACACTATTCTGTCTGAAGATTATCGACTTTTCCTGAATCTGTTTTCTTATATATATTGATGGATATCTATGTTACAGTATGTTACGATGACTAAATGTTATATGCATTCACACATTCCCTCACATACACAAATAAATACAGATGCCCCTACACATACAAAAACAATATTTCTCAACTGTATCTATGGATGCTTGTGGTCGTCTTTTTTGCCTATCATAACGTCTCAATTGTATCTGCAGATATGTGTTTCAAGTCCTATATGTGTCAGTGTTTATGTATATGATATAATAGAATAATACGTCTGGTATTTTATCTACAAAATTACGAGAAAATTTGTTAAGCCAGAGCCCTTGAATTGCATCATTAGTGGCTCCATGCCATCTCAAGATCATTTAGATTTTGGAACTTGACGTTGATTGAGTGCACTCTTGCTTACATTTCTGCAAGTTACTTGACCTTTAGATTCTCTGTTTAATTGTGATGAAACAGACATTATACATAAAATAACTCGCGCTACTGTGCTGATTTTCATGTGTGACAGATCCTGAAGAAATAAGGCGAACACAAGAGGAAATCTTGAGAAACCAAGCCAGTCTTTCAAGCTTATTACCTGGGGCTCAAAGCAGCAACTAGAGATTGGATTTCACCTGTTATAAAGGGAAATCCTTCATGGCCATTCTACGAAAAAGCTGAATTCTTCGTAAACTCAGTTCCAACAATCCTTATCAAGGTTCTTTTTTTTTAAGTCAATGAGTACCATCATTAGTTCATTTATCACTTGCTATAATCTCTCGTCTCGTTTTAGTTAAAGTTCTAGGCCTCTGGTATCAGTTTTAATGTTTTATGCATCGATCGTTGTCCTAAGAATTATTTCATATTGAATTCCCTGTATTCGAATTAGTGTTGCCATTCTTGATCACTGTATATGCTTGTGTTATGCAAGTTTATTAGAACCATCAGTTAACAGTTCTAAGGAAAAAAAGGAATTCAGAAGAGAGTTTGGAAGTAAGTTGCAAGGTAATACTCTTTCTAGTATTTTAGTTCTGTTCCAAACAAACTGTTGGGGGTCGTATGGTAGCTCGTTAAATATAAATCCTGGATGAGTAAGATCATGTTTGATAGCATTTTGTGGTTATGTAGTATAAAATTCAACACACAATATTTTATACAGGATAGAAGATAAAATAACTAAACGTATATAAATTCTCTCATAACTAATTTATGTATCAACTACTACTAATACCTATATAACTTTAACCAACTACCAACCAACCTCTCAGTGTCTACATAACTAAGCATTGCATGGAGAAACATTTGATAGCACGTTAAATTTGTATATGAAATACATCATATGATCATATTACATATATCATCAATGGTTACGGTGGGATAGATAGGATCCCTCATACTTAACCAAGAGGTTCTGAGTCTATTTTAATTTTGAGTATATATAATTTTGAATTCATAATATCATAAGAGTGAGGAGAACAACAATCATATATATATATATATAAAAGAGAACCTTAGACCTGCCTATGTGGCGCCACCACAAATAAGAATTTCCTTTTAATTTATTTATTTTCAAAACTAGTCTTCCCCCTTTCATTAAAAGTTGTGACATTTATGAAAAGTTGTGACTTTACTGAATAGTTATGACTTTTATGAAAAATTATAACTTTAATGAAGAGTTGCGACTTTTATGAAAATTTGTGACTTTTATGAAAGGTTGTGACCTTTCCGAGGGTTGCAACTTTTTCAAATAGTTGTAACATTTCTAATAAGACACAATAAACATTTGTTCACACTACCCTTTGTTGTCTATAAATAGAGGGATTTCCTCTCATTTTAAAACAACGAAATTTTTGAACCTCTTCTTCTTCTTCTTCACAATTACATATTTGTGTACTTTGCTCATATTGAGTGACTCACTAACACCATTGCTTATGTTATAGATTTTGGTATGTATTTTTACAGCCATTAATTTATGCTTATGTTATTAAGGATAAATGATAAGATGTAATAATTTTCATTGTAAGATAATATAGTTTTTAGTTTTAATGGCTGATAGGTTTTAAGTATTATTTTATAAATTTTGTGATATTAAATTCCCGCGCGAAGCGCGGGTAATTTTACTAGTAAGAATATAAAGTAGAATCCACAAAATTTAAATCTTAAATTCGTCTCTAATTGTGCTAGAATCCATAAAATTTAAATGTTGAATTTATCTCTGACTGCACTAATATGAAATACAAAGGTTGAGCTGCAAGATTTTTTTTCTTCTGTGTTTCCATAACATATTCTGGAAGAGAAAATGCTGAAGCAGGAAACCGAAAGTAAAAAAATAAGATAGAGAATCAAAGAAATTAAAAAAAAAAAAAAAGTGATCGATAAGCATTTATATTTAGTTAGGTGCTAAGAATAAATCTGTGGAAGAATATCATTATCCATATAAACAGAAAAAGGCTGAGAAACAAAGAAATTAAAAAAAAAAAAAAAGTGATCGATAAGCATTTATATTTAGTTAGGTGCTAAGAATAAATCTGTGGAAGAATATCATTATCCATATAAACAGAAAAAGGCTCCTTAGAAGATAGAAGTGAATCTTATTCCAAATGATGAATCTTACTACATGTTACTGACGTTTGCACTATTACCTCATACAAATTTGCAACAACTAGGCTTGTGTTAATGCACTACAATTTATCCATTTTAATAATAATAATAATAATAAGTAGTTCTCGGTATGGATAAATATCAATTCAAATAGAAAAATTGAATCAAACCGATAAAATAATAAACTGATTTTATTGTGAGAATATTTGTCTTAGTGGTTCATTAAATGAGTGTTTATGTTTGTTGGACTGAAAATGTCATTGTCTCTACCTTCTATGCCAAAATAGTGAATTTTGAAACTTTCAGTGATCGAAAGTTCTATAATGTCAACCATTCGAACTATTTTTCATTTTGAATGGAGTTTTGTCACATTTTCACGTTTTGAATGAATTGTTTCTTTTATTTTTGTCTATGGTTAATAACCAAATAACCGAACTACAACCGATAATAACCAAACCGATTAATATATATTATATTTGGTTTGATTTGATTTTGATAATTTTAAAACCGATTCACCAAGGAATTGGGGCTTAGAGCTATGAGCTACAACACATACGCAAGAAGGAAGAATGCCTTAATTAATGATCCAGACGGTCCGGGGGACCACCACGACTCCTCTCTTCTCGAGAATCCACTGGAGTCAGATCAATAGGGGAGTTCATACTGGGACTTTCAGCTATTTATTAAACTCATCTAATAACTTTCTTGCCTTATCCTGAGACCTAAAGCACAATCAACCTCTCTACCTTAAGACTTCTAACATGATCGATTTGATTTAGTTTTGATTTTCACTGATAACCGATCCAAAACCATCCCATGAACACCCCTACCCTAGTAATAACAAAATTAATCTAAATCTTCTTAGAAGTTATTTACATTGTCATATATAAAGGTGCTCATGTTGATAAGCACAAGTTAACTATATATGGATGTGAGTCTGAGAACTTGATTCTTTGCTTCCAATTTAAGCAGGAATCTTAGTATTTTCCAATTACTCAAACTACCTCTATAAATACTGTAATTAATAACATAGACGACCAAGCAATACATATACAAAGAAACACAAACACAAGAAAACAAAAATAAAAATAAAAATGAACAGATCAGTACCATCAAAGTACATAGCTACTCATGCAACCATGGATAGTCTCAGCAGCAAGGAATGTTACAACTCTATTAATTACAATGTTAATCAAGCTGCATCATTTCAAAGAAAGAGTCACAGTAATCCCAAACCTACTTCTTTTGGCTATAATCATTGCTCCATTTTAGATTCTTCAGAAAGCGATCAAGGACATGCTATGAGTCGTCAACCTCGTTCCAAAAATGATATTATATCGCTTTATGATATGAAAAATGATATTACATCGCTTTATGATATGAGTCGTCAACCTCGTTCCAAAAATGCTATTATATCGCTTTATGATATGAAAAATGATATTACATCGCTTTATGATATGAGTCGTTACCCTTAGCACAGTTGATATGTGCAATATGCTTAAAATTAAGTAGATTAAAAAAATATCTAGCTGATCAAGTGCTTGAAAATATGTAATATGGTATAGGGGATTAATTAATATGCAAAATTATTAATCCTCATGTACTGTATTATTTTAGTAGTTAAAATAACGTTTTCTAGACTTGTCAGCTATAGAGAAAAATAGCATATAGGTGTATGGTGTGCTCTAGTATAATTTGGTGGCCCTGTGATGAGGCATAGGTTGTCTAAGAAATAAGTGTTCTGCTTGGCATAGGTGAACCACGCAAGCAGGTTACATGTGTGGAACAGAAGATTCGTAATACCTGCTAGTACGATTACGTTAAAGGGAAGGAGCCTAATCGAGCCCTTCTTTGATGTTTATGTCGACGATATTAACTCGTCGTTGTTATTAATTAATTAGTACTAATAATAAGCTCTGTGTGTTTATTAAGTAAGTCATTTGTTTTATGTTAATACTTCCTCTTCTTCTTTTTTTACATATTTTTAAAAAATTTAATTTTCTCGAAGGGAAAAGAAAATAATATACTTATCTTTGTTGTATACTAGTAAGTAGTAATTACCGATATTGTTAGTCCACGTGTAATGGGATTACCTCAACTCATGACAAAATTAAAACAATTAATTCACTCGTGACAAATTAAATTTCTGAGTATAGGTAAAAGTAAAAAAATTTATCTATTTTTTATCAAGTTAAAGGGTAAAAGTATAAGTTGGAAGACCACATCGATTGACTTTGCTTTTTTACCACATACTCACTTTTTAATGCTAATATTTTTCAAGAGGGGAATAACTAATGGAAAAATTACATATATATATACACACATTTTTTTTTTTTCATAATTCCTATTATTTCCTATCATTTCTAAAAAAAAAATCCCTTATTTTGAACGCAACACAAAATATCTTGATACATAAAATATTCCCACTCCCCAAAACCCATGTTTATCACTACCTGATTTCACTTCACAAATCTCTCCCATTTTTTATCCCTATGATCTTTTAAGTTAATTGCTCCATTACATTTATCAATCCTAATTTGAATTTCTATCCGGCAAACAAATTTCAAATATGTCAATAGGTAGTTTCATCTTCTTCACTGTGTTCGTTTTTTCAACGATTTTTCTCTTTCATTATCTGATCAACAACCACTAATTCAACGAAACTTTCCACTTTTCTGAATATTTATGTCAACGAAACTTTCCACTTTTCAAAGTTAATTTGACTAATTTTCAAAGTTAAAATTAAATTACATTTTCTATATTTTAAGCAAAAAAATTAGATATTCAAAAATTATCCAAAAAAGTACTATAAATTGCAATTTTTTACTCTAAAAAAAGAAATCATGATAATTAAAAATGGACAAGAAAATAGTGGTTTGGTTATACAAACTGAAAAAGTTTTGGCCGGAAAAACAAATATTCTATATATAGATTTGATTAATTTTGGACGATAAAATATTTCCTCCTTCATTCCCATCTAATCAATGAAGACTTAAGAAAGGAAGAGTAACGTGAACATGTCTCAAATGGTTGAGAAGGTGATTTGAAAGGGTGATGTGAGTTTAGTTACCGAAGCAATATCGATTTATTATCACAGTTAATTTTTAAATAGTCTAAATCTAACATTATAATAATTTCACGATTTTATTCGATCTTAAATTATTTATTTAGTTCATACTATTTTCAAGCAACATGGTAATACTGCTGCATATATATACATTGAAACTTTGATTCATAACACATTATTAAGAACTCTTGAGAATAAAAAAAATCATGACGTTAAACTATACTCTCGATACATAATGAGAACATATAAAAATGTTACTACTCTATCGATATAGAATCTAACATTAAAAAAAAAAAAATCTCAAATTGAATTCGAACTACTATACAATTATTACTTAGTATTCATATGGTAATGGAAATATCTCATTGGTTCCAAGTGTGAGGTAATATGCAGTCAATCCAATGCATATATATGGACATCTAATCATAATTTACTAATAAAATAATTATTTATTTTGTGAAACTATCAAAACCCCATTTAGTACAACATTGTCTGCAATGACCAAGTATGCCCAGATTAATGTCTCATAGATTACAAGGCCAAAATTAGTTGTAACATCCAATCTGCACAAAAAATCAAGAAAAGTGCCTATGGAAAAACGATAGTGTCTGATATTGACACTAGTGATCAAACAAAAAACATCATGGTCGACATATATAATTTCTGTTTTTGTTTTGAATTGTAGAGACCAAGTGATGGTGGAGTTCATCAATTATGTTTTGTTCTACATGTTTAACTGATTCTGTTGATTGACAATCTGACCCAAATGTTTTTTCTAACGTTTTTTTTTTTGCCTCTAAACGGTTGAGACAAAAACCTTCAGCTAAAATCTAAGAATATTGCATAGTATTTGGACAGTTTAACCAGTTTTTTTGCCTTCTAGATAAGTGAGCGATGTCGTGAACAGAGTGTAATTATAAGATTAAATACTAATACACATCAAGATCTTGAACACAATAATCTTACATACCTGATGCGGAAGACATCATCACAAAGAAAAACGAAAGCGTTAATCGTAAATGGATTTCTACCTCCTTGTCCTAGCTTTACGTTACCACAACCGTCAGCGATGAAAATATTTTTGAGAATATGTGATAACCCTATTAATAGGTGGAGGGCAGTGGCGGAGCCACCTTACAATGAGGGGTTCATCCAAACCCCCTTTGGCGGAAAATTATATTATTTATACATGGTTAAAATATTTTTTTAGGTATATATAGTAGATGTTGAACCCCCTTTGGCTACTACGTGCGTCTATTTTTTCAGCTTTCGAACCCCCTTAATAAAAATTCTGGCTCCGCCACTGATGGAGAGAGGACCAATTTATAGAGGTTAAGACTTAATCTGGTATATCCATCAAATAACCAATGTACGGACGAAATCTATTATTCATTAAATATTATTTGGGTCACAAGTAAACTTGGGCCATAACTAAAAATTATTCTTACACAGAGGTACACAGAATTGACCTATTAAAGAAGAAATTAGTGGTCGAGTAAGTAATAAGAGTAGTAAGATTATATTTGATGAATGTAAAATATGAAAATCGTGATAGCACAAATTCGTAAATTACTAGGGGGTAAGGTGTAATTGTTGTTGAACATATTTGAATGTTAATAGCACAACCAATATCTTGTACTCCATTTATCTGTGTGATTGTTTTTCAAATGTCTACCTCATGTATGTCCTACTTGTAAATGAAGTGGTCAAGCTCCAAATCCAGTTTGAGTTGGAGTTTCGATTATTGAATTAGTGGGTGTTCATCTAATTCATGTTTTTCTTCCTCATTCATATTATCATAATCGCCAAATTGTTTTTTTCAATTATTCATCATAGAATGGCTCCCTTGAATTAATATCAAAATCAGGCATAGTAAAAAAATAATAATAATCAATATGTATAACTTTTAAAACTTTTTCCAGTTTTAGGTACTTTAGGCTTACTAGAACTAGCAATTTTATTACTTTGTCCAAAAAATGAGAGAGTATGTCTATTATCTTTTTAGGAACCATAGTATAAAAATATAATAAATTCATTGAAATCTAATAAATTAAATACAATTAAAAAAAATAAAAATAAAAATTAAAGATAGAATAAGTGTACCAAATATCTGCGAAAATTACTAGTATAAATTTATAATCATGTCGTAACCAAATATTGAAACTTGAACCTTAAAGTTTGTTAACGCTTGCTCCGTCCACTTTTGAATTGACACACCTATTAAGAAAATAATTAATGACATAGTGAGTTTATCATTTTTACCCTTATTAATTATGAAGTGAATGAAAAGTTCTACATTTTTCAAAATAATTAGTCATTTAATTGAGGGTATAATAGGTAAAAAGAATTTGTCTTTTTTTTATTTGTCAAAATGGACAAGTAATTAAGGACATATGAAGTAAATGATTAGCAAATTGACTAGGATAGAGAGAGTTGAGAGAGAAAAAAAATGGAAAGATGATGAAGAGTAGGGCTACTCAAAATAGAATAAAAAAGAAAGTTATTGATTTATTGGTAATGAGTTATTGATTTAACTGTTTTGATTTGAGATTTTTTTTTAATGGATTAAACTAAATTATATTTATATCATTCGATATATAAAGTCAGTAACTTAGGATTTAATTTCAATTTTTTATTTGTTGCAGTCTCAAGCTTTCGATTATTATATGATATGTTAGTGTTACTTCTAAGCAAAACGCAATTTATCAATTCATGTTCATAATTAATTTGGTTTATTTATCAAATCTTAATGGTTAAACACTTGATAGAAGATCAATAATGTATTTGGAGAATTGAAATATGAGAAAAGTATTTTGTGATGGTGGAGTATAAGAAAGCAATAGAGAGATTGTTACTAGCAGCCGACAAAATTAAGAATGAGGCACATTCTATTTCGTGTTCCTCCTCCAACCAACACCTCCCACCTCCCTCTGGCCCCCTTACCCCCAAACTACAATCCTCTACATATACATATCTGTATCTAACTCTTAGTATTGCTTCAAGAAAATTTGATTCACCTTGTAAATTTCCAATTTTGGAAGTTGGGTACTTGGATTCTTTAAGTTCTTTTTTCTTGTTTGAATTGGGGTTAGCTCCATGTGGGATTCTTGAATTTTGATTTGATGAATTTCCTTCCAAGATGTTTGAGTTACAGTAAATGTAGTGGTGGAGCTGGAAGAAGTGAAATTAGGGGTGGTGAAAGTTCCAATGGTGGATTTGGGAAAGATGGGTTGTTGTGGTTTCATGATATTGGGAATTGTGGGAGTGGGGAATATTCCATGGCAATTGTGCAAGCTAATCAGGTTTTAGAGGATCAGAGCCAGATTGAGTCTGGTCCATTTGGAACTTTTGTTGGAGTCTATGATGGTCATGGTGGACCTGAAACTGCTCGTTATGTTTGTGATCACTTATTTCGACATTTCCAAGGTTCATCTTCTTTCTCTTTGTAATTTTTCCAATTTTTATCTGTTTTATTAGAAAAAAAGATGTTAAATATTTGCTATGTAGTCAATCTACTGCGTCTCATATCGAAATTAGGATAGTCGATTTAAGTGGGGAATGTTGATTCAAGAATGAGGCAAGAGTAGCCCCAAGTCTAATGAGTATTAGGATTTGTCGATTTAAGTGGGGAAGGTTTAGTCAAGAATGAGGCATGACTAGCCCCAAGTCTAATGAATATTAGGATATGTCGATTTAAGTGGGGAAGGTTGATTCAAGAATGAGGCAAAACTAGCCCCAAGTCTAATTAGTTGAAGTCACAGGGTGGGGAGGGGGTCCTTGAGTGGATTCCACATTAGTCCCAAGACGTTGGTTTCTAACTAGAAAAGTGAATGCTTGAGCTTTAGTGAGAAGGGGGCCTTCATGTTTATTGACTTGAACAACTGACCTTTAGATGAACTTATGAGTCAAAAGGAACTTAACTAAGGGCACCTGCTCAGTTATATGAATCTTTTGTATTCCACTTTATTCGGGCCTATTTCATTCTAGAGCTTTATTAAATAATTTTGTTTCTGGGAATAATCATAAAGATATGGAAGTTCCCCGTGATATCTGGTAGCAGTTGCATTGTACTATTGAAAAAGATCAACTCTTGAGAATCCTTGTTACAAAAATTCTAACTCTTAAGGTACCTTCTCTGCAGGTTTCTTGATGAATAGGGTGTATGGATTTTTTAGAGGCATTTCCTTGAGCTCTTTCTAGTCAAAGGGTTTAATTGCATAAATAGCTTAGAGTGTAAAGCGTTCCTAAATTATTTTATAGAAATTCCTGATATCTACTTTGTTAATGTGATCATGTGAAATATTATAGTTGGTTGGTCTTCATTTGGCCCTTCTGCTCCATTACCATCTCTAACTCCCAAACTCCTAAAACCAGGGGGATCAAGTTTTTCATTGATTGTTTCCTTTTTCCTCAAAATTTTTGAAACAGCGAAATATGTTGGATATATTTTCTTGATAATAGAGAATCCCCGAGGGTCAATGGCACACATCATGCACTGCATTCTTAGTACTAGACCAAAGCCCTGAGGGTGAAAGAAATGTATTTAGATATTGAACATTAGGAAAGGAAAACTTTGTAGTGGTTTCATGGATTTTACTCTTAATGCAGCAATATCAGCTGAAGGAAATGGTGTAGTCACAGAGGAGACAATTCAAAGGGCCTTTCTTGAGACAGAGAGAGGGTTTACTTCTGTTGTTTCGGAAAATTGGCATTCTCGACCACAGCTAGCGACAGTGGGGGGATGCTGCCTGGTTGGAGCTATATATCAGCAGACACTCTTTGTAGCAAATCTTGGTGACTCTCGAGTAGTCCTTGGAAAGAAGGTTGGAAACACTGGGGAAATTGCTGCCATACAGCTATCAACGGAGCATAATGCCAATATTGAGTCTGTTAGGTGGGAGCTAAAAGACTTACATCCAAATGATCCTCAAATTGTTGTTCTTAGACATGGTGTTTGGAGGGTAAAAGGAATAATTCAGGTAAGGTCAACTATATGAAAAGTTTCTTGTTATTAAATTATGAAAAAAACCTTCCAAGTTCTCCCTGCATTTCCCATATTCCTATGCTTGTAGAGGATATGCATAGATGCTTAGATGTGTATCACGATCTATAATAGCAGAGTTTGATGTGAATGATGTTATTTCTATGGCCACTTGCAGTAAATAATTAAGCTTCTGTCAGCCTTCTTTTTGCTGGGGAATTACCATGTTATGTATGGCCATATGGTGTAATAATGAACTGAAGTAAACTGAATTTTGGGTAGAAAAGCAGGTTTAAAAACTTTCAAGATGACATCATGTTTTAAAGAAAAATTGATACGCGTCTCGAATATCTACTGTTTCTCATCGATTTTAATATTTTATATTTTTATCGGTAGGATAAAGAATTCTTCTTCTTTTTTTGCCGAAAGTGTCACTAGTCTATGGTTGATCAGTTTGTACCTGTATGTCATACTTTCGAATTGAAGTTCTACAATTATTGCTTTTCATGGATAAAAATTAGAATTCATTCTCTAGTCTGCAACTTATGTCTTAATAATCGGTCTCCTAAATTGACTGCAGGTCTCAAGATCCATTGGTGATGTTTATCTTAAACACACAAGGTTTTGCAGGGAACCAATAAATGGAAAATTCAGAGTTCCTCCACCCCTTAATATGCCTATCCTGTTGGCCACTCCAACAATTTTAAAACATCCTCTACATCCAAATGACTCCTTCCTCATATTTGCTTCTGATGGTCTATGGGAGCACTTGAGCAATGAAAAGGCCGTTGAAATTGTGAAGAGTCACCCTCGTAAAGTAAGTTCAATGCACCAAACCATTGTACTTTTCCTGCATATTCAGTTCAATTTAAGCTAAATATGCTTCTTATGGCAAACTATGACTTCAAATACATGTTTACTTTTGATGATATACATTATTTTATTTTATTTTTTGATAATTCAAGGATAATTTTCAGTAACTACCAAGTATGTAGAAGTCTATAAAATGAAAGCACATCAAACTACTGTAACTTAACCATCTATTAAGAGGAATACTATATTCTTCTTACACTAAAGGCAAACCACACAGAAAACCGAAGAGATAGATATATATGCTACCCAAATCGGTAATCACACAGTGATATACATCCAGTGTACTAAATTGGACCATCCAAGAGTCAACTTCCTCATACACTCCATAAGCGCTTGTCTATACCAGCATAAGTGCACATCCTATGATCGCCCTCATGATTTCTGAATCATATCTTCAGACGTTACTTTTCTTTTAGGTTTTCAAGCTCTCTGGCATTCCCCATTAGATTTCAGCAACTTGTAGATGACTTGCCTAATGTCTTTCCATTATTTATACCCTGAATATTCTCCTTAATTATTCCTTCATAATTTTATTGAAAAGTCGATCTCTTTAACACCAAATAATCAGGTTTTCGGGTGAGAAGATGCTTTCACCTTCCAAGTTCTATTCTCCTTGTGATCTCTTTCAATTTCTGCAAGTAGGTGGATGCCTCTTCGTGATGTCTTTTAAATGAAATGCTCAGACCTTCCAAATCTAGTTTGAAATGGGATCACCGGTTCCTGCGGTGTATATTTTATTTTTATGGTGAATGGTGAAAGAAAAAGTAACAGAAGTGTACCAAAGATGTCATGCATTTTCCAAAAGAGCTCTGTAACATATGGATGATAATCAAATGTTACTTTGATCTTGGGAGTACACCAGTGATTGAAGCCACTCAAGCTGTGGCACAACCTTGAAATTCCTTTGAGTTACTCACAGTTATATCATCTTTACTCTCCATAATAACAACCCTGTAAACTCAGTACCATGCCAAATGACATAATCCTTTTACTCTTCATGATTCAATTTATTAATTAAGGCTTACCCTTCGAGATCCCCTCTCTCTCTGTGTATATATATATATATATATATATATAGACTCTTTCAAAGAGATGGTTTTAGCTTGTTGTCCCTTTTGATGTATTTTGGTATGCATTCTTGAACATGAAAAACAAATCTTCTCACTTTTTCATGCTCATATTTTTCTTGCAAATACAGGGAAGTGCAAAGAGGCTTGTCAAGGCTGCTCTCCATGTAGCTGCCAAAAAAAGAGAGATGCGATATTCTGATCTTCGAAACATTGACAAAAAGGTCCGACGTCATTTTCATGATGATATAACTGTAATTATTTTATTCTTAAACCATGACCTGATATGTAGAGGCGTTGTGCAAGATCCAACACTTTCTATTCGCAGTGCTTTAGAACACTGATTGTTGAAGGAATATATTATTTTTTACTAGTGCCTGAGGTTCTGTCACAACACCAAAATTTTCCTTGATATGCGGCTCCGGAGCAGCATCAGTGAAGCAACTACGCTGTATAAGAGTGTTTTTTTTCCTTTGAAGAGGCTTATAATTTGAATTTCTCAAACCTTGTTATAGGTGGAGTTCAAGAAGAATGCTAATTCAAAAGTTTTGGATACAGTCAACCTCTATGTAACAGCCTTGTTTCATTATTAATTTATTCTGTATACTAGTTTTTGTTTCTGGATTCTGGAGTATTTTGTTAATTTCTTGTAACATTGCCGCCTGTTACAAGTGTTAAAAGGAAATGGTTCGCCACAAGAGAATGATGGCTTTTGAATTAAAAGAGGATGTTGCTGCGGTCTTATTGTTTAATTGGAAGAAATTTATTTCCCTTAGAAGAGAACAATTATTTGACCAATCAAACGAGCTCGCTTGTATTTAATCTTAGTATTTTGTCCTCATAGATTTTGTGTATATGGTAAGTCCTTTGTTGAAGAAATCATATTCTTCAAATAACACAGAGAATATGGTTTCAATTCTTTGAAATGGCAATGGAGGCTAGGCATACGCCGTTGGTTTCAAGAACTTGGAGATGGGGGTCATTTTCTTATTTTGCAAGGTGAGTTACAGTTTGATATTGAAGACCTCTTTTCTTTAATTCATTGATAGCTTCACAATCACACACACACACACACACACACAATTCAAACCCAAACTCCTTGACTACATGTACCCCTCTTTTGGTGCTTCTGATTCCACTGTCTTATTATACTGGACAACCTCATCTAACTTTTTGTGCAGTCATTTTCCATATTAAACCAACTTTGCATTTCTTTGCCCAGGAAGTTTCCTGCCAAAAGCACCATTTGGAGGTTGGCAGGCAAGGGCAGATCCAGGAAGTGCCTTGAGTTTAACTAGCTGGAGGAGCAATGGCCAACTGCACCTGACTCTCTTGAAGCAGTAGGTTAGGTTCACTTCTCTTAATAATATACTGATTCTAATAGATTTTCATATATATATGCAAGGTCGGAGCTGCAAGCAATCTGACCTGCTACATATACACTATATTCGGCCCTGTTGACATGCATCCTTTTCTTTTGCTTACAGCATTTTCTGCTCTCTTAATTTATAATCATTGTTTTCCCGATTTGGATGGCTAACAGTAACAATGGGGAGTATTAATTATAGAATAAACTTCTCTTGACTAGCTATATACCAAATCTGTGAGATTGAATGAAGACGAAAACCGAAAGTGCAATTTTCTATATACAACAGACTTACAAATTCAATGTTACAGTTTACTAGTTTTGTGAAAATTGAATGCAACTAATTTGCATGGGTCCTCTAACAAAAAATAACAAAAAACTGTAAAAGCCAATGATGGTACAGAAACCTTCACATGTAGAACAAACAAATCTCTTGAAAAGATGGAACTCAGCGATGTATCAGCAAAGGCAAATAACAGAACATGAAGACAATAACTCACAAGAAAGAATCTGCAAGAACACGAGAAAATCACTTATGAGTGAAGGAGATGCATCTTCTATATTTAACAAACAGTAGTAATCTAATATGTGTATGATAAGTTATTATTGAAAGAAAATACGACCCTCTGCACCCAAGGGTGTGGCCTAGCGGCCAATAAAGTAGGTTGAGCACCATGAGGTCTCAGGCTCAAATCCAACAGAGATAAAAAGACTAGGTGATTTCTTCCCATCTATTCTAGCCTTAGTGGACAGAGTTACTTGGTACCTGTTGTTGGTGACAGGTATCCAGTGGAATTAGGCGATGTGCGTGCAAGTTGACCTGGACACTACAGGGTCGTTTGGTTTGAATACAAGTTATGTTGGGATTAGTTATGCTGGGATTATTTATCTTGGGATTAGTTATCCTGAGATTGTTTTTGATTGACTGTTTGGTTTGTTGTACTAAAACTATTATGCATGGTATACTTTTTAAGAATAAGTTGTTTGTTTACAAAAATACCCTCCATTTTATTTAGGTTTTATATATGTATTTTTTAATAGAGTTTTAGTTATTTACTTTTAAAAATAAAATTACGTGAATTTCATTTACTTAAATTTGTATACCACGTAAATAGAAATAGGTCCGTGGGAAGCTCTCCTCTTTACTATCACAAGTTAAAAAAAAATTAATCAAAATTGAATTAAAAACTGTATCAAAATAAATTGGATCAAAACTCCAAAAATGCATTAAGAAAGCAGAAAAAAGTGACAAAAATACACCAAATCAGATGCAAAAACTGCACTAAAACAGCAAAAATTGCATAAAAACAATCACAAAATTTGAACCAAATCTGAATCAAGACAGCCGCAAAAAATTCACCAAATCAATAGCAAAAACTGCACTAAAATGGCTATCAAAAGTGAAAAAAATTAACAGCAAAAACTCTAGAAATTTGACCAAAATTCACTAAAACACTTGGTTAAACTTGAGGAAGTAGCCATACTAACAAAAGTGATGATAGAAAGGATTTGAAGGACATTTTTGTCATTTTAATTTTTTATCCCAGGATAAGTTATCCTGATATTGTTATTTCACCTAGAAGGAAGGATAACTTATCCCAGTACTATTTGCTAATATTGGGATAAGTTATCCCATAGTTTGTCACCAAACAAGGAATAAAAAGGAACTAACAAATTATCCCAGGACTATTTTCTTTTATCCATCACACCAAACGACCCCTACGGTTATTAGAAAAAATATGTATGATCCCTCTCCCAGTAAAACAAAAGCAATAGAGAGAGGTTCTTATGCAGCTGCAATAAAAAAAATTGCGCACAGGACATTCCTCAACTTATGACATCTTCATCAGCCAAAACTAGGATCATCAGGCTATGTAAGACTTTAGCTTTGACAAGTTAGGTCTGCAGGGTTTACCCTGTGGTCACTCAAAGGGTAGCAACTGTGAGTTCCCTTGTCATCAAAAAACTTGCCAAGACTAATAAATTGGTGAAGATTTCATAACATGCAAACTGGACTGTATTGCAGAGTTACATTCAAGTGCTAGGTAGATTTGTAGTTTATTTTGACCATGGATAACTAGCATAACAACAACAATAATGCACTTTTTATGAGCCAGGATTCTAAACAAAAATTATTCAGGGTTCTTGGGAAGATGTTGTTCAAAGGAAAAAGCCCCTTCCACGGGTATTTGTTAATGACAATCAAAAGGAACTTCTCATTGGTAGCTATAACTGAATATTTTTGGTTCGATAATGCTGCAGTTGATTAAAATCAGTATCTTTTAACTGAGTTTTCAATTACTACTGAGCAGTACTTTTAGAGGAGACTTTCATATGAGTTGTTTCACTGTCAGATTTTCTGCAGTTAGGACTCTATTCTTCACATTTATAGCCCGTTTAGCCAAGCTTTAAAAACCTGTTTATTTTGATTTATTTTTTTTGTCAGCAGTGCTTTCCGAAAAAGCACCTTTAAAGAGGAGCAGTTTGTGTTTGACAAATTTATTTGAAAAGCACTTTTGCCAATATTAGAGAACCAATTTGTGCTTGGCTAAGGTTCTGAAAGTGCTTCTGGGAAAAGCTTCTTTTTTCAGCTTTTGCTACTACTCAAGATTCAACAACACATATTTCTTTCCTAAAAGCTTAGCCAAACACCTCAACGCTCTAAAAATAAGCACTTCTGGCTTCACAGAAGCTTGGCCAATCCTATTTAACTTCTGCTTCTTCTATAAAGAGGATCCAGAAATAAACTTTCTTTCTATTTTAGCTCCTTTATTATGTCCTGTTCCAATCGAAGCTAACATGACATTCTGACTTGTAACTAAAGTGATGATACGGCAAAAGCCCAATACAGACCACAACAATCACAAGAGTTCACATAAATAAATCTTTGTTTTGAGATGATAACATTATCAATCAAGAAAATATCACATGAAATCTTATTCAGAGTAACATGCATCTCCAAATATTATCTTCTTCCTTTTCCTTTTTTACCGTTCAAGTTACTCTTTTATGGTTTTATTTTTCTTGTAATAACTCAAGAATGGAAAGAACAGACAGGAAAAGCATCAGAAACCTCAAGGGTAACATGCTTCGAGTTAAGTAACAATAGCATTAGCATGTAAAGGACACACTGCTCTAGGAAGCAGTTACTTACATATTGACTTGGGAAGTATATCACTGCATGAACTTGTTGAGGTGATACCAATAGTCTTTGTTTTAATGTATCATAGCTTTGCAATTCAAATATTTTCCAGTATAGAATGAAGGCTTGAAACTCGACGGCGGAACAATGGTTCTAGCCTGAAAGTTGGCACCCCAGTCTGCCACCTGTTTGTATCATACATCTCACTCCATGCCTGTACAATTTCATCAACTTTGAACCCTGGAATAGAACAGGTACAATATGTTAAAGAAAATCACTCAAGAGAAACATAAAAAGACCAGTTAACAAATATCTCACTCATATTTTACCTTCGAGAGCAGTTTCATTGGAACAGTGGTTCTTTATCATGACTGCAATATCAGAATGTGATGCTCCAGCTAGTTCAAACTTTTCTACTGCAACATCTAGACATTCTTCCCAGGTTGGTAATCCTATCTTAAATTCCACCACGGAACGTTCGTAGAGCATGGTTCCCCATAACAGGTAAATCTGAGACCTCATGTTTTCAGTCTGCTCTTTAGTTTCTTCAGATGATTTATCTTTAAGTATACCCTCCAACCCCCTTTTGTACAATTGAGCTTTATATTCCTCATATTTTGAGAGTCCATTTAGATGTTGTTCTTCCATCTCTTCCCACATTTCCATCCCTCTGTCAATGCTATCCTCAGCCTTGTTGTATAGCTCCAAGATCTCTGCACATGTCCCTGTCTCTAATTCAACTTTACTCCCAACCAAATAGTACCATGAGAGTTTTGCTTGTTCAAACTGCTGCTGACCGAGTGCAAGAAGGCTTTCGTAGAAATCTGGCTTGACTCTAAGAGCTTCTTCATACCTCATTTCTGCAGTTTCATATTCTTTTTCTGCCCATTCATATGCAGATCTAACCTGCTCCGACACCGTCTCCCCAGAACCCTCTTCTGTGAAAAATACTTCTTTTCTTGCTCTAGACATGTGTACATTTCCCCAGTTAAACAAAGACAAAGCTGCCATCTCTTGGAACTGAGCTGAAGCAATGTCAAAAAGCCCTTCTGCTTCTTCATTTGTAACAGTGTCCTCCATAGCTTCTGAATATAATTTCATTCCTGTCTCGTGAAGATCCAGATACGAGTCACAATCAACTCCAACATGGTTCTTGAATAGCCTTGTGAATTGGACAAACCAGTTCTCAGGGCAAATTGGCCCTTCATTCAGTTCCCCATCCTTTTTTACTATAGTTGATCTGCAGATGCTCGATTTCTCATCTTCATCAACCCTCAAATACATAGGTTCTTTATCTGGACTAACTTCTTTGATGTAGAGTCTTAAAGAACCTTGAAGATCAACAGATGATTCAGCCAACCTGAGCTCATCAGTAGTTGTAATAGTTACCAAATCACCTTCTTGATCCCTGTACTTGATAAGTGCGCCCTTCAAATTTGGAAATCGATCTAGAACTATGTCTCTCACAAGTCGAATACTGCAACCAACTGGTAACTGTGCCCATCTTATATCCTCTCCAAGAACCAACTTCACTGTTCTTGTCATTGTTTTTTCTCCCTGGACGGTTCTCTTCTCCTCCACTACCACCTTGTCCTCGGCCTTCTTTTCTTCGACTCCATCAATCTTCGTTTCCTTAATCTCAACTATCCTCTTTCTATCAAATTTATTGTTCTTCTTCTCCTTTTTCATGTTATCCTTCACAACATTGGCAGATTCTGGAAGGGGTAAGACTAACTTTTTATTTTCAACTTTAAGTATTTCTTCTATTTCCTTTTTAACCTTGTCTGCAATCTCTAAAGCAGTCAAATTGTTAGGTTCAATACTCAAGACATGGTTCACATCTCTTAAAGCTAAATCAAGCCTATTCAATGATTCATAACACTTTGCTCTCTTCAACAAAGCTTTGCTATACTTGGGAGCAACTTCAAGTGCCAAGTTACATTCATTTATAGCTCTTGGAAACTCGCTACGCCCCATTTGCATGTAGCAACTAGCCAAGTTGCTATGCAAATAGGCAACATCAATATGGTTCCTAGGAAGCAATTTGAGTGCCTTCTCATACTTCAACATGGCTCCCTCGTGATCGCGTTTCTGAAAGAACCTGTTCCCTTCTTCCTTCAGGTCTTTAGACATCTTGATAAACACAGCTGTGTCCTCATCAAATGCTTTTGATTTATGCTTCACATTTCCATCATTTGACTTTGATTTTACATTACTTTTCGTCTTCCCAGTTGGCTTCCCCATGGTTTGTCACTCCAATAAGCTAATCTAATTAGAATAGCCCCAAAATCAACTTATAATTTTGTCCTGAAAATCAATAAATAACTATAACGATGCTGCGGAATCATCGAAAATAATGAAATAAAGACCAATCTTTTCAAACATGTTCATGGCAAATGATCATCAAACTCAATTGTACAGATGTAATTTTGATTTATGGAATTAGATATGCCTTGTTGAAATGTAACCTAAATTTGAAAGAGAGAAAAAGAAAATTAGATTACCTTCAATACACGATGAACACGCTCTCCCAACAAAAAGATCATATGAAAGCTTCTCCTTCACTTATTTTAGAACGTATCGCTATCTTGAAATAAAAGATTATCCTTGATTCATATATATAGTCGATCGATAACAATTAATCGATTGATATATATGGAAGAGAAAAGGAAATATTGACAAATAAAGCAAATCTGCAATGATTGTTTGTTTGGATTTGTTTTCTTTTCCATTCTCTTCCATGTTTGTTTCTACGTTTCATGTTCTCTTTTTTGCGAGACGTGGCCACCATAATTTTGACCAAAACATTCTGAGGACTCTCTCAATTTGGCTTTAAATTAATCGTTTCAACAGTAATAATTATTTTAGAAAATATTTGTTGGATTTTTGTTTATGACCTTTTTTAAGAAAAAAACAATAATGTTGTAAAATATTGTGTATGCAAAAATTACCAAGTAAAATTGATTAAGGGTATATTTATGATCAAGAGCAAAATTCATAAATTTAAAATTCTGAATCAGTTTTTTTATTGTGCCAGACTTGTGTTAGATTTACGAGAAAGCCAAATGATTTAGAAAAATGATCAAAAGGATCCTTAATCTACAGAAGGTGGGCTATATATACCTCTTAACAGAATTTTTATTTTGTATTTACTTGTTTTTTATTAATTATATTTTATCTTCTTTTTTTTATAACTCTACCTTATACCCTACTTTTCTAGTAGATTTATTCTTTAAATTACGTATGTATAACGTTATGTAACGATAGAAAAAATGATATAATTTATTAAAATAATATAGAAAAATATAATATAATAAGATATATTATGAAACAATATGTAACCGCCATTTAAATAGAGTGTTAAGAGGATGATGGTTGTGGGAGGCCATTTTCCTATTAAGTAAATATCTCTGCTCTGTGTGGAATCATATAAATTTCAACTGCAAATTCCACGAGAAAGATGTCCAGCCATATCTGAATCAACAACATCTTGGTACAAACCTTTTATTGCTAAAATGTACTTCAAAATCCACTTCACAATATTTCAGTATTTTGTACCAAGATTTGACATGATGAATCTACTCACAACTTTCACTGCATAGAAATATTTTGTACATATTGTCATGAATTATTTTTTTTAAAAATAAGTCGTAACTGGGGCTCAATGTCTTTAAGTTGGAGTAAATTTTAGGAATAACAAACATAAAAATCATATTAGCAATCTATAGCTACAATTTTGCTATTTGCGCTCTATAGCAAACTAGCTATGGAGCATCTGATTTGTATAAATCAAGCGTTTGTGTCTATGAAAATTGTGTTTTATATGTATATGTTCTTTGTGTTAGGCTATAGTGGCGAGTGAGATTAGGAGAGATGCAAGCGAGAGAGGGCAGATAATGGAGAGAGATGAATTGTATATGTATATCGGTTAGATAATTGTATGTATGTAACTAGTATGTATATGTATCAATGATTGTGCTTGTATATCTGCATAAAATTTGAATTTGTATACGATCGAATCGAGTTAAAACATTTGTATTTGTATTTGTATATCAAATCTCTCTCTCGCTTTATACAAACACAAATTATACAAAGAGAGAGAAAGACAAAAGAGAACTGGGCAAGTGAAGATTTGTATTAATATAATTTTAAGTGTATAGGACGGAGAGACATGTATTTGTATTTGTATATGCAGTCTCTCTCACTTTATACAAACACAATTTATACATTTGTGTTTGTATAAAAGTGAGAGAGGCAAGGGAGAGAACTGAGAGTGGTGAGCGAGATTCAAGGGAGATAGGCTAATAACAATGTGTTTGCTGCGAATTGGAATTAAATGAAATTGTAGCTATAACATTTATTTTGAATTAATAGTTTGCTATAATGCACAATTTTTCCTTAACTAAATTTTTTAATCAAAACTTTATTCCAACAAATCTTAAATAATTCAAAAGATATATCGAAATATCTAAACAATTAGAAAATGATGCCAAATGTGAACAACCATAACCCTACTAAAAACATGTTAATGAAGCGTTAATGGTTCAACAACGTTGATGGTCTAAAACAAAATCATAATAAGAGTCCTTGAATATTTTTTAAAAAAACTTTGTATATATTTTTACTTTAAGTTATTCTTACTTTTTGAGATGTGAAATTACTAAAAATTGTTATAATCAATTTTCTCTAATGATTTTTTTTTTCAATTAATCTCTCTTGAGACTTTGTTAATCTTTGTTAGGATTTTATCAATTTTAATTTTAAAAACTTGTTTCCGAATATTCAAATGTTAATAAAATTGTCAACATTATTTAGTAAGCAAAATATATGCATTTGAAAACAATCAAGTCGTTTCTTCTGATTGAGTATAATAAATATTAGTATCTTCTATTTATGTCATTTTTCTTAACACTTATCATTTGAAAACAAGGCTAAAAAATGTATATCTGAGGAACATTATATTTTGAAAAAAATCGTGGTGAAGGTTTTTTTTTTTTCTCATGTTCCTTTCTCAATTATTTCCCCAGTAAATAGAAAATTTTAAAAATAATCATATGCTTTCAATTGATCAAATCTATTTTGAAAATAATAATTTGTAAACCTACTATTATTGAAAAAAATAAGGCCCCAAGTAGTGTTTGCTATACCGGCTTCACCCAAGAGCCTACACTTTCTACTGGAGCACTAAGGGGAATGCACAGGACATAAATTTTCTGGCTAATACCCAAAAAATGCTGGAAAAATTCTAACTGAAAAGAAGAAGAAATTCCACGGTGAAGGGCGGAACTCACCAAATCAACTTCTGAAATAAAGCAATCTAACTTGTTATCTGCTCGTCTATGAAACCTGCGTCTACATTGGCATAGGTCAATGTAGATTCCAAAAACAGAACGTCAGTACACTACGTGAGTCTCAACGTTCTCCTCACTAAAGTCAAACCGAGACCTTAAATAAAAACATGTAGTTAATGAACATATATGAAAGAAAACAAATTATAGGAGTAATTCATCCCAAGAGCAACATGAAAACATCACTAAAACTTGTAGGTTAGTTCATTAATTTGTTTTTTTTTTTCACTTTCTTGTGGCTAACTATGGCAATTAGTTACCCTTTATATAGTTTCCTTCAGTTTTGTGATCCCCCACATGTTTTAACTTGTCACTAACATATCAGCCATATACAGGAGCAAAATAATGTATGAATTTATAAATTTCTTCAAGTAACAACAATGAGTCATCATAAACCTGTCAAACTTCTTGGTGCTTGTTTCAAACCATAGAGACTCTTCTTCAGTCTACAGACCAGATTTTTCTTATCTGCCTCTATGTACACTTCAGGTTCTTACATATACTAGTCTTTCATCTTGATCTTCATGGAGAAAGGTTGTCCTTACGTCTAAATGCTCAAAATACAAATGATAATAAATCTTATGCCACAACAATACTAAACGCAATTCAAATAGTAGGTAATTCAACCACATGGGAGAAAATCTCAGTAAAATCCATACATGCCTTTTGTTGGAAACCTCTTATTACCAAACCTTAGCTTGCCATATGCTTCTGTTTCACCCTGTAACCCATTATTCTGACTTGTCTTTCCCTTCCAGTAGTTTGACCAAGTCCCAAGTTTGATTTATGTTGAGTGAGTATACTTCATCCATTTCCTAAATTCACTTGGACTTGCTATCAACCTGCATTGTCTTATCAAAACAGCTAATCTCACTGCCATTTGTTAGTAACAAGTAATCAACAGAAGGAGAATATCATTTGTTTGGAAACCTCTGTCTTACATACCTTCATAGCAGAATTGGTGTCTTTATTGTTTCTGGCTCGTCCTTCTCATGTGGATCAACCTATTCAACATTGTTCTCATTGCCAGCCTCTCACACCTTCTTACTGGTGCATCCGAACCCTCCTCTTCACATGTCCGAACTATCTTAATCTAGCTTCCCTCATCCTTACTGGTGTATAACTTCGTTTCTAATCTTATCTCTCTTAGTATGCCAAACATCCAACTGAGCATCCTCATATTTCTACTTTATCTTCTAAACATGTGTGTTCTTGATTGGCATGGGCTCTATCCTTATACAATAAAGTAGGTCTAACCATCACTCTATAGAACTTACCTTTAAGCCTTTAGTGACACATTCTTATCACTTAGTATGCCAAATGTGAACCTCCACAATTCACCCACCCACTCCAATACAATGTGTGAATCATCGTTAATATTTTCGTTTTCTTGGATTATAGACCCAAGATACTTGAAACATCCTCTCTTGGGTATGACTTGTTTATCGATCTTTACTTCCACCTCCACTTCATGTGTTACATCACTGAACTTGCACTTCATGTACTTTGCTTTAGTCTTGCTTGATTTGAAAGCTTTAGATTTGGAGCTTGTCTCCAAACTTTCAACCTACAGCTAACTCCTCTACGTGTTCGTTAATCAATAATATGTGATTAGCGAATAACGTACATTACAACACCTCTCCTTAAATATACCATGTTAATTCGTCCTAACATACTAAGGGTTGATCCCTAGTGCAACCCCGTCATGAACAAAAAATGTTCTGAGTAGTCACCTCTCACAGTTCCTACCCAAATCTTTGGTTCCATCATACATGTCTTTAATTGCTTTAATATAAGCCACAAAAACACCTCGAAAGTCCAAACACCTTTATAAAACTTCCTTAGAAATTTTATGAATTTTATTGTATGTCTGTTCCAGGTCAACAACCTTCTTACAAGACGAATGAGTTATGTGGTTGCTAAAGATCTTTAGGTATTGGTTGAAATCTATCTAATAAAAGAATTATGTCAAATACAGTTCAAGCATGAACAATAAGTGTTACTTCAGAAATAAAATAATTGTAGATTTCTTGCAAGAAATATTAATGGATATTAACAAATGGGGTGGCACCATTCCAATGGTGTTGTGTTTAGGTTGATAATCAAAAACTTTTTTTTCCAAGTCCACTCCTTAGCACTTTTGTCTTGTGTTACAAGTGTTTGTTATATATAATTTTCAAGGGTGGATTTTTCCATGAGTATTGAATAGGAGTGTGAATGAATATGAACAAAAAGGGAGATAATGAAGTAAGAACTACTCAAGACCTCCCTTTTTTTGGACTCATTCCTCATTTTCTAACTTTCCCTCAATATGCCAACCAACTCCAGCCATTTTTAGTCATACCGTGACTTCTAGAATGTCCAAATTAGCTGTTCAAAATGTTCGGGAAAGTTCATGCTTAGGACCACTGGCATCCTAACTGGGCCATACCAGTACGTACAGCCTGTATCCCATTTTCTTGCTTTCATTAATGGCGTTTCTCCTTTACTTAATTTCCAAATTATTATTTCTCTTTTTAGCCTTTACTATTATTGTTTTCATTATTGTAATCTCAAGATTCCTCTTTTGTTCATTTCATGATCCTTTTACTTTGTCCAGTATGTTCACGTGTCTCACTTGAATTTAACATTTATTTTCAATCTTCCTCCGTGATTCCAAGACAAGGGTAAGGTAAAAATTACGAAGATCTGTTGTTAATATACGTACACGGCATCCACTCTCCGTTGGTCCAAGAATTTGAATTGGCACTGAATACTCCGAACCTGAAAACAATGACACCAAAAAGAATAACATTAACAAATTCAACTAGAAATAATAAAATTATATAGAAAAGGAATACCTCGAACGATGACGCAAAGATGCCAAAACACGACGAACGCATATACGGCCGACGAACGCACATACGGCCAACGAACGGGAAACGCCATTGCATAACGTAACGGTGTACGCCAAACACGACGGAAAACACAAAGGCTGTGAACGAACACAAAGAGAAACAAGTCACGCCACTTCATCGAACATCAAAAGAAGTCCACACACAAATTTCTCATGATTTGTTAATTAATATTTAATCGAAGTTCCGAATTCCTGATTTTTTGCTTTAAATTTTAATCTGTTTAATTAGATTTTAAAAGTCCAAATTGTCCTTCAATTGCAATCAGTTACTGCAACAACACCATATGTACAAGGTAGAATTCTACTACTTCCATACTGCATCAAAATTGCCCTATAGCTTTCATTTCACCACCGGAGTAGTAAGAACCGCAGCCTGGATCAGACGCCACCGCCGGAAAACTCTCAAGAGATGAGCCTCAGTTAATATATGAAAATCACCAACCTGTTACACCACGGAAACGGAAATTTCACAGGTTATCAGCTTTGGACATTCTGGAAAGCCGGCTAGGACGCGGTTGAAAGTCACCTCGACGTCTCTGATGATGCGACGATGGCCTAATAAGAGCTGCCAAAGCTCGTTTCACTAAATCACCTTCAACAGACCAGATACGCACCAGTGAATTCGTCATTGCCGATCTCCGTGCATTCAATCGGCTAGGCGAATACGAAATCGAAGGAATATTCTTCACATTCTTATGCATACTACACCTGAACGAACCAGGATGCGTCGTAGGTGAGCATAAGCACGTTCTCTTCGGAATCTGCTTTCGAACCACCTGATCACGTTGAGACACCGCCATGGAACGCCGAGGAGAAATGGATCTGTCAATGGAGAACCTAACGCTAGGTGTAGAATTCACCGGCGCCAGAGCGTGAAGATTCACGCGCGTCGGAGAAGCCGATCGATTGAAACACCCGGTCGACGGAGAGGAATAAAAACTAGAGTTGCTGTACGAAGCGAACGACATCGCATCAGTTGCGGTGGTGGTGGTGTTACAGAACCGGCCGGTAGGTGAGATTGACCTCTCAAACGCCGATTTAAGCAACACCGACCCACTAGGCCTTCTAGAGGAATTCGCCATTTTCGCTGAAGATCTATATAAACAATTTCTGTTTGTATAGATCTCTTAAAAAGTGCCCTAAGGCTTTTCAGTTTGGCAAACCTAGCGAGTCTTGAAGGGTAAATTTATAGCTGGGAGAAGATGATGGTCGGATTGTAAATAAGAGGAAGTTTTGAGGTGTAATTATTAAAACAAATTGTGAGTGTGGTTAAAGTAACCATGATCACTAGTTAACCCGAGAGTGGAGGTTGAATATGGGCTTCTCAATAGACAGCGAACCTATACAGCAAACGACAATAATTGGAGCCGTTTTGGCTGACTGCTTTTCCAGAGAATAACGTTGAGTACCACGTATTTGTCTTTTGTTTGATTGTATATAAATTTGAAATTCGAAAAAATTTTAAATTATGATTTTTAAACTTTGAAATTGTATTTAGTTATGTATTTTTTACTTAGATTGTTTTAAAATTTTGTGAGTGAAAGTTAAATTTATATATGTATTTTATTTTATTTTATTTTAATTTTTGTAAAAATTTATGAGTGAAATTTTTTTAAAAATAAAATAAAATGATTTGAGTTGGCTTTTTGAAAATAGTTGAAGATTAAATTTTCAAAATTTTATCGGATAAATATTCAAATATAAATGTACTATCAAACGTTCACTTTCAGTTAGATGCATTTTTCTTTAGTCTTGACTCTTTCTATGAGGATATGAATTAAGTGAAAATAAATTTTAAATATTTAATACTTATTTAAATTGATCTGGTGTGAAATTTTTTTGAGGAATTCGTAATTATAATATTAAAATAAATAGGTGAGTCGGACTATTTTGATGGTTAACATAAGTAGAATCAATAGACGACAAAAAAAATCAATGGACGAGTTGAGTTATAATTTATTAAGTAACATTTAATTGAGTCAATTCGAATTGAATTTTAAGTTATTTTTCTTTCATTTTTATTTGTTTATTATATTAAAATATTTTTTAACTAGATATAAAAAATTATCCTTTTATACCTTTAACATAACTACTAATTCCCCCATCATTTTTCAAAAACAAAATTAAAATGTTAATAGTCATGCATATTATGGTAAATATATATTTTATTTATTATTATTTTAAATAAAAATTGTAAAATTCATCGTGGACAAGTGAAGCGAATAAAAGGAATATAACCTATCTTGTTTAAATTGTCATTTTCTTTATTTATAATTTATTTATTTATCATAACTATATTAAATAATAAGTTAAAATGAAAAAAAAAATTATATACCGTGATAAGTTTGTTATTTTTTTGGATCAACTTGGATTAAATGTTCAAACTATATAAAAGAAAAATATGGATTATATGCGCCGACTTAAATTGGCGGAAGCATAGGATAGGCTGATTTAGGTCTGACAAAATAGATCTGTCATATATATCTAGCTGTCCAGTACTCTAGTTAATCAAGTTGGACCACTTTTATTTCCTTATAAAAATTTGAAAATATTGGTACTTTTAATTTAATGTAAGAAATTAAAAATTAAAAAAATGAATTTATATTTTAAATTAAAGATATACAGAAACATCTTATTTGTAGTTATTTTCTTATTTATCAAATACTTACCAAAGTTAAAAATTAACTTACCCGAACACCCTCTTAATCTTATAATGTTAAATATGTCATATAGAATGTTAAATAAATAAAGAAGTATACAAAAATGTTTTTTATATGTCCAGAAACTAGTAATTTATATAAAGATATCTTTGATCTCTTAAAAAACTTTACATTATTTATTTGCTTCATATATTGAGGAAACCCTAGTCCTAGTATATTGACGTAACGTCACATAAAACTTGAAAGTGACTATGCACCAGAAACATAAATTAAAATTGATGTTCTGACTCTAATTACGAAGTATTTTTATTAGAATTTTAATCAATTTGAATTTCTATCGTGTAAGACAATTTAAGAACAAATTGTCCTCCTTACAAAAATTATATTCAAACTATGAATTTTGAGGCTTTTAATTAAATATGTGGCATTCTATCAATTTCATTATTATTGGTGATGAAAATTATAATTTGTTCCGTTCAATGAAGAGAAATAGGGGATGGAGGAGAGAAATTTCCGATCCAAGTTACTTACTCCCATTTTAGTTATCACTTGATCTCAAAATAATTGTCACTTTATGATTTTAAAGATTAGTTAAAGAATTGATCATTTGTGAACTAAATGAATGGTTAAATTACAAAATGTAAAAACTAGAATGGACTTTTTTTTTTGCTGAATAGAATGGACTTATTCTTCTGTTATGTTTTTTTTTTTCCTATAAATAATAGCTTGTTGAAGCTTTGTGGAAAAAAAGCAGTTTTTCTAGATACTTTTAGAACCTTGACCAAAACACAAGTTATTGCGTTGGTGTAATATGCCATAAATATAATAAATTATAAACAATAAAAATGAATAAATAAATCTTTAGGTTGAGGCGCATATATCTTGTTCTTTTTAAGGAAATTCAAGCTCACTGCGGCATAATCTACACCGATTCAACAATATATCTCTTGACTTATCTCCTTCAGGATACAACAGCCCAACAACGTCATACAACTAATTGAAGAGTCCAAAGCTCCACAAAAAGAACATTTTCTTCAACATATAAATATTCTATTTTGTATAGTGAATATAGTTGAAGACTTGGAATGTTTTCTATCTCTCTACTCTCTCTTTCACTACACTAACCTCAATATACACTCAATATAATACTACTTATCTTTTTTACTCTATCTTTTCTTGTACATCTCTTGTTATTTCTTCTTGTACCCAACACAAAGAAAGACCACACTATTTATAGGTGATGAATTATTCCTTGCAGTGAATATGAAGATAGTGGGTAGTAAATTTGCCAAATAAATGGCCCAAATGTTACATAAGTTACAAGACATAAAGATAGAATAATGAGTGAAATAAAGATTTGGTGGTTACATTAGTTACTAACAACTAATGACCACTTTCTTCCATAATTGACGAGAGTAAAGAGACACAAATGTAATGTCCACCAATGGACATAACATGATACATAATGTGACATATAATATATTTTTATTAATATTAAAATGTCACACCAATAGATTGTTTTAATATGATATAATACAAAATATGTGCTCTTTAATTTGATCTCATTTTAAATTTATACTCTTCAATTGGGTGTATTTAAATAGGTACTTAAATTTATATAAAGTTGAACAAGTAGATACATGCGTCATATGAGACACAATATACGTAGGACATAAATTGTCATGTAGGACGTATATGTTTATTTATTCAAATTTATATAAATTTAAATGTCTACTTGTGCACACCCAAAATTATAGGATATAAATATTAACTGGGCTAAGTTAAAGAATATATTTTTACATTATACCATTAATGATAAAAATAAATTTTAAATTAATTAATCAAACATAAAATGTTACTCGTCAAAAATATTTTTTCTTAAAAAGAGATTCGAGAAAAGATATTTTTCAAAACAAAGAAAATTTGAAAGTCTAGTCTAACATGCTATAAGCCTTTAGGCAATAAGTTACATTGAGATAATTCAAATTCATTTGACTATATTTGAATTTTGAGCCACCAAGCTTTTATTATTGGGTGACATAATTTGTGTTAATAAATCTTCTTTTAAATAATTGTATCGCACTAGTTTTAAAGAGTGAAGGTTAAGTTTGATGAATTAATAAGATTTTTTTAAAAAATTTTAATGGCTAATCTTATTAAATTTGAGTTGATCCTCTATTTATAAGGAAAAATTGACTTGATCTCAAAATTAAAATCCCTAAATTTTCTTAAAAAGATAAACATTCACTATATTTATACTCAGTAATAAATATTTTTTCACTTAACTAATTTATATTCATGTCGTATATGATATTTAAAGCTCTTTATCATAAAGTTTTTATTTTTCAAAGTTTAAATCCAAAAACTCTTAAGTTGTCCTTTTCTACATGGAATTAAAGTCAGAGACAGAGAGGATAAGATCATCAAAGCAATTAAGTGTTGATATTGAGATTAAACCAATGTATTGGGCAGATATAAATTTGGTTGCTAGTGGTTGCTTGGATTATCTTGTGGTTATCCAAGTCATGCTAATTAATAAATGATAATTTAATTTTTTAAAATTAACTTTACACAAAAATAATGACATATAGGGTGTTTTAGATAAGAAGAGTTGCTTCTGCTTCAAACGCTAAAGTTATAATGGTTTATGGGTTAAGAAAATTCCTTAAAAAATGTTTTTAAAAAAAGAAGAAGTAATTTTCGTTTAAAAGAAGATTTTAATAAAGCGGAGAGATTTTTTTCCATAATTTTTTTTTTACCCCACCCACAACCAAAGTACACATTATTTTTTATTACTCCTTCGATTTCTATTTACTTGTCAAATATTTTCTAATTTGATTTTCCTTTTTTAATTGTCATTTTTGACAAATCAGGAAGGAAATTTTTTTTCCTTCCTATTATATCATCAACTTATTAACATTATATTGAGTTAATATTTTTGAAAAATATAGTGAGTAAATATGTTTAACACTCTATCAATTAATAGGAATAAAATTATAAATTTTTTATATCAATCATTGTTTTCTTAATAGGTATGTCTAGTCAAAATTTGACAAATAAAAAGGGACCGAGGGAATAATTGTTTTTATATCTATACACGATTCAAGCTGAAAATAGTTAGTTTGACCTTTTATTTTATTTTTCTCTCATTGTTTCCTTTTTTACTTCTTGAGGTTTTTGGCAGAAATTAATGTCAGAAAGTATCATGTTTAAAATTTGTAGAGCATGATCTAATATAATGTTATGTCTTTTTTATTTGTTGAAAGGCATATTTAGACAATAGTATAAAAGGTTCATAAATTATATTAAAAAATTAAAACAAAAAAAAGTCAATTACTAAATAGTCATCATGAAAAAGGACCACAGGCAAAAATTATATTCATGGTAACGATCAAAAAGAAGTTGCAATAATTAGGTCATTTGGTTCTTTGATGATAAGAACAATAATGTTATTCAAATTATATTGGTGTTGACCTTATAAAACCACCCTTTGGGACACACTAGGGTTGCTTTATAA